TTTCCAATTTGTATCCCCTTGATCTCCTTTTGTTGTAGTGTGGCTCTGGCTAGAACTTCAAGTACAATATTGAAAAGGTATGGAGAGAGTGGACAGCCTTGCCTTGTTCCTGATTTTCGAGGAATTGCGTTGAGTTTCTGTCCATTTTGTTTGATGTTGGCTGTTGGTTTGCAGTATATAGCTTTTATTATGTTTAGGTATGTTCCTGTTATCCCAGATCTGTCCAAGACCTTTATCATGAAGGGGTGTTAGATTTTGTCAAAGGCTTTTTCAGCATCTAGTGAGATGATCATGTGATTTTTGTTTTTCAGCTTGTTTATATGGTGGATTACATTGGTGGATTTTCGTATGTTGAACCATCCCTGTATTTTTGCATCAATTTTTATGAGGGATATTGCTCTGAAGTACTCTTTCTTAGCTGTGTCTTTGTGTGGCTTGGCGATCAAGGTTATTGAAGCCTTGTAGAAAGAGTTTGGCAAAGACCTTTCTGTTTCTATTGCGTGGAATACTTTGAGAAGAATTGGTATAATCTGTTCTTTGAATTTATGGTAGAATTCTGCACTGAGGCCATCTGGACCTGGGCTTTTATTTTGCTTGGGAGATTTTGATGACTGCTTCTATTTCCATAGGGGTTATGGGCCTATTTAAATTGCTTATCTGTTCTTGATTTAATTTTGGCAAGTGATAGGTATCCAGCAAGTCATCCATTTCCTTTACATTTTCGAATTTTGTGGAGTACAGGTTTTCAAAGTATGACCTGATAATTCTCTGAATTTCCTCAGAGTCCGTTGTTATGTCTCCCATTTCATTTCTGATTTTGTTAATTTGCATGTTCACTCTCTGCTGTTTGATAAGTTTGGACAAAGGTTTGTCTATCTTGTTGATTTTCTCAAAGAACCAACTTTTCGTTGCCTTGATTCTTTGTATTGTTTTCCCAGTTTCTACTTTGTTGATTTCAGCCCTCAATTTGATTATTTCCTGGCGTCTACTCCTCCTGCAGGACTTTGCTTCATTGTGTTCTGGAGCTTTCAGCAGTGCTCTTAATTCTCTAGTATAACTATTCTCCAGTTTTTTCATGTGGGCACTTAGTGCTATGAACTTCCCCTGTAGCAGTGCTTTCAAAGTGTCCCTTAGGTTTGGGTATGTTGTGTCTTCATTCTCATTGAAATCTAGGACGTCTTTAATTTCTTTTTTTTTCTTCTTTGACTCAGGAATGGTGCAGTTGTGTATTATTCAATTTCCATGGGTTTGTAGGTTTTCTGCAATTTGTGTTGTTGTTGAATTCTAATTTTAAAGCATGGTGGTCTGATAAGATGCATGGAGTTATTCCAATTTTTTTGTAGCTGCTGAAGTTTGATAGGTTGCCAAGTATGTGGTCGAATTTTGAGAAGGTTCCATGTGGTGTTGAGAAGAAGGTATATTCTTTTTTATGTGGATGAAATGTTCTATAGATGTCTGTTAATTCCAGTTGGGTCATTACTTCTATTAGACCCTTTGCTTCTTTGTTGGGTTTCCGTCTGGTATTCCTGTCTAGTGGTAAGAGTGGTGTGTTGAAATCTCCCACTATAAGTGTGGGGGGCTTTATATGTGATTTAAGTTTTAGTAATGTTTCTTTACGAACTTGGATGCCTTTGTATTTGGGGCATAGATGTTCAGGATAGACACTTGATCTTGGTGGATTTCTCCTGTGATGAGTACGTAATGACCTCCTTCGTCTCTTTTGATTGATTTTATTTTAAAGTCTAATTTGTTTGATATTAGGATTACTACCCCTGCTTGTTTCTTGGGTCCATTTGATTGAAAAATTTTTCCCAACCTTTAACTCTCAGGTAATGTCTGTCTTTGAGGGTGAGGTGTGTTTCTTGTATGTAGCAGAAGGAAGGGTTCTGTCTTTGAATCCACTCTGCTAGCCTGCGTCTTTTTATGGGTGAGTTAAGACCATTAACATTGAGGGATATTAATGACCATTGATTGCTCACTCTTCTTTGATTTGGAATGGTTGTTGGTGGTGGAATTATTTGTGGAATTTCACTCCTTTGTTCTTTTGGCTGTTGGTAGAGAGGGATTCTCTAATGCCTATGTTTTTCTGGTTGTAGTTAGCTTCCTTGGGTTGGAGTTTTCCTTCCAAAATTTTCTGTAGGGCTGGGTTAGTGGATACATATTCCTTGAATCTAGTTTTGTCATGGAATATCTTGTTTTCTCCATCTGTAGTGATTGAGAGCTTTGCCGGGTATAGTAGTCTGGGCTGGCATCCATGGTCTCTTAGTTTTGGTAGAATATCTATCTAGGACCTTCTGACTTCAGAGTTTCCATGGAGGAGTCAGGTGTAATTCTGATAGGTTTGCCTTTATATGTTACTTGGCCTTTCTCCTTAGTTGTTCTTAATATTCTTTCTTTATTCTGTATATTTGGGGTCTTGATTATTATGTGGCAAGGGGACTTTTTTGTGATCCACTCTATTTGGTGTTCTGTAAGCTTCTTGTACCTTCATTGGTATGTCTTTCTTAAGGTTGGGAAAGTTTCCTTCTATGATTTTGCTGGATATGTTTTCTGCCCCTTTGAGGTGGTTTTCTTCACCTTCTTCTATACCTATTATTCTTAGGTTTGGTTTTTTCATGGTGTCCTATATTTCCTGGATGCTTTGTGTTAAGGATTTGTTGGACTTAAGATTTTCTTTGGTTGATGAACCCATTTCTCCTAGTGAATCTTCAACACCTGAGATTCTGTCTTCCATCTCTTGTATTCTGTTGGTAATGCTTGTATCGGTAGTACCTGACTGTTTGCCCTGCTTTACTATTTCCAGCCTTCCTTCAGATTGTGTTTTTTTTATTGTCTCTATTTTAGTTTTCAACCCTTGCACTGTCTGAATTGTTTCTTGCAATTTTCAGTTTATCTTCCATTTGTTTCATTTTATGATTTTTTTGGTTTGTTCTCTCTTCCATTTCTTGCATTTTTTGGTTTGCTTTTTCTTCCATTTCTTGTATTTCTTGGTTGGTTTTTTTCTTCCATTTCTTGGATTTTTTGTTTGTTTCTTTTCTCCCATTTCCTGCCTTTTTTGTTTTGTTTTTTTCTTGCATTTTTTGGTTTGTTTTTTCTTCCTTTTCTTGCATTTTTTGGTTTGTTTTTTCTTCCTTTTCTTGCATTTTTTGGTTTGTTTTTTCATCCATTTCTTTGGGAGATTTTCCTATTTCCTCTTTTAGGGCCTCTATCATTTTCATGAAGTTGTTTTTAAGGTCATTCTTCTGCTTCCTTTGCATTGGAATGTTGGAGTCTTGCTGGTGTGGAGTCTCTAGAATCTGGCAGTGTCATATTTGTTTTTCTGTTGCTGAGTGTGTTTTTGTATTGTCTCTTTCACATCTCTTCTTCTAGTGGGTGCAGAAAGAGCCCCTTACTGGTCTGGTGGTTAGGGGACCAGAGTTCTAGCAGGGTGCTAGCAAGTCCAATAATCTGGTAGTTCTTCTATTCCTCATCCTAGTTCTGGTCCTGTGGGTGGAGAAGAAGACCAGGAATCTGGGGTGCTTAATCTCCCACCTGGTCCCCTGGTCCCTTTGCTGGAAGAGAAGATTTGGGATCTAGGGTGCTCCTTCCAGGATGGTAAGCTCTGTGGCCGTCCCCAGTCACTGGAAGGCATGCCTGGGATGCAGGGCCTTTCTTACCTGGATCTGCTGGTTTCCTGGTGTCGTTGGTGGAAGAGAAGACCTGGAATCCTGGGTCCTTGGCTCCCGCAGGGATTGGAAGCTCTGTGCCGTTCCCAGGCAATCCCCAGGCACTGGAACACAGGGCCTCTTTTACCTGGTCCCACTGGAACAGCTGGCCCCCTGGTCTCCTTGTTGGAAGAGAAGACCTGGGATCTGGATTGCTTGTCTCCTGCAGGGATGAGAAGCTCTGAGGCCTTCCCCAGTTACTGCAAGGCACGCCAGGATGTGGGGGCCTTCTTTACCTGCCAGAAATATTTTCAAAATTTGAAAAACCGTGTTCATGATCATTTAACACAAAGGCACCTATCTCTTCTTCCACTTAGTGAAAAGTTTAGTATAGGAGGCACAAATGAAACAGTAGGAAAATAGCTCAAGATATGAACTAGAACTGCCCATTCTGTCTGCTCGTCTTCTACCTCTTCTTGGTCTTTGACCAAAACTTCTGAAAATTACTTATGTATTATATTTGCATCATCATTTCCTCTCCCTCTTCTTCCTTAACTCCTGTGCCCCATCCCAACTCTTTCTAAATTCACCATTTTTATTCCTTATTATTATGTACACACACACACACACACACGAAAATTTGTAAATACAACTTGCTTAGTTTATTTAGTACTGATCATGGCTGTTTAGGGCTGTCCTCTTGAGCTTGGATAACCTGTCTAGAGGCTTTTTCCTGGGGAAGACTGTTTTCTCCTCTCTCAGCAGCCATGTTTACCTGTAGAGCTTCATCTAAGGAATAAGCCTTGTAAGAATTCCTGTAACTACACTGGCATGTCAGTTGACATTGTCATTTTTTCAGGTCTTATTTTGGTAACCATATTGTTGAGATGTTCTGGGTATAGCTTTCCTGTCATATATTGTCTTAGTCAGTGTTCTATTGCTGTGAAGTGACACCACAACATGGCAGTTCTTATAAAGTAAAACAATTAATTGGGTCTTGCCTACAGTTCAGAGATTTAGTTCATTGTGATCACAGTAGGGAGCATGGTGCTATGCAGGCAGACATGGTGCTGGAGGAGCAGTTGAGAGTTCTACAACCAGATCCACAGACAACAGGAAGAGGAAGAGCAAGCCATTGGGCCTAGCTTAGGCTTCTGAAACCCCAAAGCCCACCTCCAGTGGCAGACTTCCTCCAACAAGGCCACACCTCCTAATCCTTTTTAAGTAGTGCCACTCCCTGATAACGAAGCATTCAAATATAGGAGCCTATGCAGGTCATTCTTATTCAAACCATCACATATATAGAATATACCATCCCACAGAAGATGTCTTTGACATTTATTAATCCTTTTTTAGGATAAGGTAGCTGCCAAGATGCTCCATTTGCGAAATCCACAGATGCTGCAGATGTTGGAGAAGTCCTTAAGGAAACACCTTCCTGAGTCTTTAAAGGTGAATATGGAACATTCTTGTGGAAAAGGGACTATTAATAATGTCCAAGAAAAATCTGGGAAATAGAAGGAACATTAATTAGCTGTGTTTTGGAACAGATATTCTCTTTGTGGCCTAACATTTGGTTAATATCACCCTGAGGCAAGGGGGGCATACTGTACACAATTAACTGAAGAGGAAATTAAAGCCTCATTATACCACATCATAGTGAGTGGCAATGTGATGATTTGCTCCAGGTGAGATTTGTTGACTCAGGAACATTCTCTTGTGCTTACACAGGAATTGTTTTATATAACACTGGGTGTTTCCAAGCTGCCCTTTACCTCATCATCATGCTGCCTTAACCCCAAGTACCTATATTACAGATGTATACCACACCCTTACCTCGATCTTTATTAGTAGGTACAGAAAAATGTGTGATAAAATGTAATAATCTTGACAAATATGAAATTAAGCAAAGTAAGAAGAAAGAATTTGTTCAATTTGACAAAAAGTGTCTAGGTATGATGTACAATTAAGATCTTAGTATATAGCAAAGAAATGAAATATTTTGCTTAAAGTGGATAACTAGTCAATGATATCCACTCTCCCTAATCCTATTTAGTGAAGCATTGGTGATCTAACCACTATATAAGTTGAGAAAGACAAATTAAAGTAATACATATGGTGCGGGAGAGGGAGGGAGTAAAACGTAGCATGCTGTCAGAGGTCATGACTGCCTAGAGTCCACAAAACAATCTTCTGGAAATAAATTTAAGAAGATTAAATGATTCAAGATCAATATACAAGTAGCACAACTCAATTATAATTTTACGCATTAGCAATTAATAAATAACTGGAATAAAAATTTTAAATTGTTACCATTTACAATAGTACAAACTAACAAACAAAAAACAACCAACCAACCAAACAAAATCCCCCACCAAATACCAAGTTCCCCAAATATTTGGTAGAGACTACTGTTGGTTTAAATTTTCTTTTGTTAACCACTGGTATTCCTGCATTCTTCTGGACAACAGGAATAAAATGTATTTAGTACAGTTATTACAATGATTGTAAGGGTGGGAAATATGAACTGTATAATATTCTATTAACTTTCCCAGATGCTCTGACAACCTATATATCATAGACTGTCATTCATAGACTAAGGCATGTGAGTTTCCTGTAATTCTGTCACTGCTCCTTCTGATGAGACAGGGAAGGTATCTGTCAAAGTAGAGTCTATGGTCCAGGTTTAAAATTCTTTGATTAAAAAATTCATTGGGCAACATTTCAGCAGTTAAATAATTCCAGGTGCTGGTGTGCTTGCATGCAACACCATCAACATGTCAATATTTTTGTAGTCATTACCAGTCAATATTCACTAAAGTCTCAGGTAGCAGAAGAATGAGTGTATTGTAATTAGAAACAAAGTCTCTCTCTAAACAGTGACTATTGAATAGTTTATCACACATGCCAACTTTAATTCATCCCAAATATTAACTATAGGCAGTTATAAAACATTATCATGTAAATTTCTGTTTTTGACATGGAGATAAGTCTTTGTACAATATGTATGAAATTTATGTACACTAAGTATTGCCAGATCCCACCTGGGTCCTGTTGCCACTTTAGGCCCCCAAATGACACACAAGACCCTACATTAATTATGAAGCTATTGGCCGTTAGCTATGGTTTCTTATTGGCTACATCTGACTTAATTACCAACCCATAATTACCAGTATATATTTTTATAAGGACTTATCTTTTCAAGGATGCAGCCTTATGCATCCTCTTCCCGTAATCACATGGCAATGACTGACCCTTGACTACATTTCCCAGAATCCTCTTCTACTCCTAGTCCCACCTATCTTGCTTCCCTATTGGCCAACAGTGTTTTATTTATACCAATCAAACATATACATAGAAGGACTTCCCCCATAATTTAGGAAATTCCATTATTTTTATAATTATATCAGCATATGTTTATTGGCAGAAAACGAAAATGTATAGGACAATATTTTATGATGTGAGACTGAGTGATTACTAATATAAAATATCTGCATATTTATGTATTATATTAGTTTCTCCATTTTGTCTAAAATCTACCTACTTTGGAGTAATAAAATATTACTTGAAGATTGGGCTAGATATCATATGACTTACACACACTGATTTCATAGAAATTGATTTCATTCTGGTAACAAAATCCCTGTGTAATGAGTTGACTTACAGTGTGTTCAAATACTTAGGTTTATGGGACTGTCTTCCACATGAACCAGGGAAACCCATTCAAACTCAAGGCTCTAGTGGACAAGTGGCCTGACTTTAAAACAGTAATTGTCCGTCCTCAAGAGGAGGTAAGTTATATCATGGAATGAATATAATTCTAGATTTACAATTGCTGTGTGCCTAAGGTAGGCTCCAAGGTAACAGAGATAAACTCTGGTGATGCCAGGGTCCCTGTTCTTGATGGAAACAGTGTACTCCAAACTGAAAAACCACAAAGAGAGATAAGAGATGAAAATAGCATGGGATCAAAACCAAAAACGAAGAAATAAATAACAAAATGTCAGTAATATGCTCCTATTTTACAATAACCTCAAATGTACATGGATTAAATTTCTCAATCTAAAGATGAAGAGTAGATAAGTGATTAAAAGAAGCAAAAACATAATATAGGAGACTACACTCACTTTAAGTATAAAAATACACTGGATATTAACAGATATAAAAAGGTAGCCATGGGTATGAATTCTTAGACATATAGTCAAGAATTTTCACAAGGATCAGGATGTCTATTTGATTTAAACAAATATTCACTTAGAACTGAATACTAGAAACATAAAAAGCAAATATTAATGAATACATGAAAATAATAAATATCAATAACTGTAAAAGACATCAATAACCCACTTTCAACAAGGGGTAGACAGGTCAACAAGGGAAAAAATCATTATGAAAACACTGTACTTGGATTAAATTTTAGACAAAGCAGACCTGACACACCAGAGTTTCCTTCCAACAATAGCAGAATAAATCACACACTAAACTACTAAACAAATCTAAGCAAGCTTATGCATACTGAAGTCATATCTAGAATTATTTTAGATTATGGTGTTCTGAAAATACATATTAAATAAGCAATTCTCAAGGAATCTCAGAACAAAAATAATTCTATGTGGGGAATGATGACCCCAAATAAATAGTTAACATTACATCTCAAGACACTAGAACATACAAGATACATCTTGGAATCCAGTTGTAGAGAGGGAGGAGGGATGAGCAAAGGAGACAAGACTGTTCTGGAGAAACCCACAGAAACAGTTGACCTAACCTAGTGAGAGCACAGGGACCCTAGTCGTGAAGCTGGGGAACCAGCATTGGACCGAACCAAGCCCTCTGAATGTAGGTGCCAGCTAGGAGGCCTGGACAGTCTATGGGGCCTCTTATCAGTGGAGCCAGTGTTTATCCCTAGTGCACAAATGGACTTTGAGAGCCCATTCCCTATGAAGGGATACTATTGCAGCCCAAATACAGGAAAGAGGGCCTAGGCCATCCCCCAAATGATGTGACAGACTTTGATGATTTCCCATGCAAGGTCTCACTATCCTTGGAGAATGGATGGGGGTGTGTTGGGGTTGCTGGGAGACAAGGGAGGATGGGAGACTGAGGGAATGGGGGGATTGACATGTAAAATAAGATTATTTCTAAAATAAAAATTATGTGTAGGGGAAAATAGATGGAGGAAATAAATAACAAATATCAGAAAAGAAATAGACCAGAGAGTACAACATCTACTGAAGAAATAAAGAGTTCAATTTCTGGAAATATAAACAAAATTTCCAAGTTCTTGAATAGTTTAAGGCGAAAAAGAGAAGACACAAGTGAATAAAAATGAAAGTGAAGATACTACAGCAGACATTACAAATGACCTGAGTCATAAGGAACTAATATGATATTTATATGTCCAAGATCGGGTAATCAAGAGTGTATGAATAAGTGTTTGGAAAGATGCATCTTACAAAGATAGAATGAGAAGCAAATAGAAAGGCTGAAGAGACCAATAGCAAATAGAAACTCAAGAAGAAATGAAAACCTCCAAATGTCCTCTTTTCCAAAGAGGAGGCAGAAAGATTGTAAGAGCCAGAGGTGGTGGGTGACTCCAAGGAAACAGCATCTTCCGGGCACAACAGGGTTGATGTACACGTGAACTCACTGAGACTGTGACAGCACACACAAGACCTGCACACGTTCAGATACAAACAAGCTCCACATCTTTTGTTTTGTTTTTGATAACTCTCTCTCTCTCTCTCTCTCTCTCTCTCTCTCTCTCTCTCTCTCTCTCTCTCTCTCTCTCTCTCTCTCTCTCCCTCCCTCCCCGTCTCTCTTTCTCTCTGTTTTTTGAGACAGGGTTTCTTTGTGTAGCCCTGGCTGTCTTAGAACTCACTTTGTAGATCGGGCTGGTCTTGAACTCACAGAGATAGACCTGCTTCTGCCTCTCAAATGCTAGGATTAAAGGTATGTGCCACCACTGCCTGGCTTGTTATCTCTTTTTTGTTGTTATTGTTCATTTGTTTTGATATTCATTCTGTTGTGTGGCTTTTACTTTTCTTTTGAGACAGAGAAAGAATGTGCAGTTAGGTGAGTAAGGAGGTAGGGAAAATCTGGAAGGAGAAAGAATATTATCAAAATATATTGTATGTAAACATTCACTAAAATCAAACAAGCCAAAGCATAGGACCAAATAGTTTAATACTGAGTACTATAAACATTCCAAGAAGGATCAGAACTAGGATTTATTTTTCTATTTTGCTTTATTAATACTTTTCAGATAGCATCTTACTATCTAGCCTACTATGGCCTGGAATTTATTCTGTAGCTCAGGATGTCCCAAATTTTTGATCCTCCTCTGTCAGCCTCTCACATTCTGGGATTACAGACATGAATCACCATGCCTAGATTATCACTGCTTATTACAAACTATAGACCTAGAAGAATTCTTCTACATAAATTTTATGAGGCCACTATCATCTTCACACTAACCCATAAAAGATAAGAAAACCATTGGTAATTTTCTCTAATGAATATTAATGCATAATCAGTAAAATATTAGGAAGCAAGCTCAATGACATATCAAAAAGACGGTACTCCATGGTTGAGTGAAGTGACTCATTATCGTGTGACGCTGGCTTATCATGTGCAATCCAGCAATTGTGGTTCATCAAAGCTCCACATAGCCATGTCAATGGATGAGAAAAAATTATTTGATAGAATCCAACACTCTTTTCGACAAAGCTTAACAGTCTGCATATAGGAGGAAAGTACCTCAATATAAAAATAGAATTGTCATTTGATCCTGTAACCCCTCTTCTAGGCATATATAGAAATATAAAATCAGTGCTGCAAGTATCTATGTAGCCACATTTATTGCAGAATTATTTATAATACCTAACACATAACCCTGGAACCCACAGACAGATGAATGGGAAACTGATATCTGTACAAAATGAAATATTATTACCAAACAATATACAATATAAAATCAATTTTAATTTACTTAAAATGTAAAATGAATAATATTTGTTTGTCAAATGTAATGATAAGATGGATTGTAGTTGTAGTTTTGCCTATCTGCAAGGGCATTTCTGTGCAGTATTTTCTGGCTAACCTGCCCTACTTGAGTATTTTTCCTTCAGTCCTTCCCTTTATCTGTAAATTTCCCAGTTGTCATTTATTAACTTTGAGAAAAGTTTTTGAACAAATTATGCTATGATTTTGCCAGAAATACATATTTTTTTGAAGAGTGGTGCTTTTTTACTTTACAGTTTAAAGACATGTTTTGTTTTTGTGTGGCTTTATTGTGTATATGGACTGACAGCTGGGGAACCTGCATGGGTCCAAACTAGACTCTGAATGTGGGTGACAGTTATCTGACTTGATCTGTTTGGGGAGGGAGCCCAGGCAGTGGCATCAGGATCTATCCCAGGGGCATGAACTATATTTTTGGAGCTCATTCCCTATGGTGGAATACTTTTCTCAGCCTTGATACAGGGAGGAGGGACTTGGTCCTGCCTCAATTTGGTATGACTTGGTTGACTCACAAAGGAAGGCTTTACCTCCTATGAGGACTGGATGGGTGTGGTAATATATTATTTATGATTTAGTAAAGCTTACCTGAGGATTCAGAAAGCAAAGTCAGCCTCAAGCTATAGAGATCAGACAGTGGTGACACATGCCTTTAATCCCAGGACTCAGGAGACAAAGGCAAATGGATCTCTCTGAGTTCAAAGCCACCCAGAGTTACCCAAGATTGAATTAGTCGAAAAGAGTAGCAGAGCTCACACCTTTAGTTCCAGCGCGAGAGAGATATAAAAGACAGGATCAGGGTCTTCAGAAGTAAGTCTCGGGATTCCCCAGTCACACTGAGAAGAGCATAGCAGTTTAGGATTGCAGTCTGAGGTTGGTGGAGCCAGGATCACCTTTCAGCCTGAGGTAGAGTAAGAGCTAGTGGCCTGGCTGCTTTGCTTCTCTGATGTTTGGCATGAAGCCTGAATGCCACCCCAACCCCACCTCCCCCACCTGGTAAAAAAACAGTATCTGAGTCTTCTTTATTAGTGCTACTGAAGGGGGGATGGGGAGGGAGAGGAGGGGGTCAGGAGAAGGGGAATGAGTGGGAACTGGGGTTGGTAAGTAAAATGAAAAATGCATTTTTTAAGTAAAAAAATTCAAATACAAGTTTATCTTGTCAATTTCAATATTGTTGTGTTAAAAATATGTCTATGGGCTGAACAGATAGTTTTCTCTGCAAGTTTGAGAACCTGAGTTCATATCCCTAGAAGGTCCGTAAAGCTCTACACAGCAGTGCATGTGTGTAATCCCAGAATTTTTACAGAGGGGAGGGACTTGGGAGACAAAAGAATTTCTGGAAGTTTGACAGGCAGCAAACAAGAGTCTCAGATAAGGTGGAAGGGAAGGTGAAGACTGATACTTAAAGATGTATTCTAACCTCTATGCACAACCCACATCCCTGCACTCTGTACATACCGAGAGAAACCATTTGTTTTGAAGCTGTTTGGAACAAGACGACTTATTCTTATAGAGCCTTTTTGACAGTATCACTTTTCTTCTTTTTCCCGAGTATTACTAACTTAGGAAAGAATGCTTCATAAACCATCTTTAATTGGCTTTAAATTGTAATGGTACCCATATGTGAAATTTAATAAAAGTTTAATAAAAATTTCCATAGAGTGTAGTTCTTGACTTGATGTTAGTAATTAAGAGGTACTGCTGATGTTTGAAGAAAACATCTCTGCTTAGGTTTGATAAATGAGTGAAAATTCCATCAAGGTTGGGAAAGGAGTTCCCGAACCCCCAGCGCTGACTGAAGCTGGTGGCTGCTGAGGGAAGGAGAGTCACTTCTTTGTGGGCAGTGGCCATTGGCAGGATGCCCATGTTCTGGTGGGTGACCCCAAATCCATATACATCTGGACATCACTAATTACACTTAATGGTTATTTAAAAAGAGAGAAAGTGAGATTGGAAAGGAGATATATTGGGAGTGGTTCTTGAGGAGTTAAGAGAGTGGGGTGAATATGGCCAATGTGTTGTACGTACCAATGGAATTTTCAAAGATTAAGTTTTAAAATGATAGGAAAGAGTGTAATGAAATTATGAAAAATATTGAGATTTTACTGAATAATCAATTGCATTTATTCTGTGTTGCCCAACTGATTAGGAGATGGCAGATGACCTTGATCCCCATACCAACACTTACCAGCTCTATTCTAAGGATCCTAAGAACTGCTTGGAATTCCTTGGCACACCAGAGGCTATCAACTGGAAACAACATCTGCAGATCCAAAGTAAAGGGGCAGGAGTATGCGATAGCTGCTGGGTCCTCCTGCATGAACATCTGTCTGTAGGATCACTCTACATCCTGGCACCTCACCCTGCAACCTTTTTCCTTTCTGTAAACTTCAGAACCCACCCTAATGCACATTCCGTGGTCTGGCTTCCACCACCTCCACGGTGGGACCAATTTCATATATTACAGGCTATGGTGTTAACAGAATAAGTAGTAACTGGGTAGTTTTGGTTAGATGAATGTATTTTGAAGACATACTCAGGCGTCCTCAGGACAACTAGATGGGAGACAGAGCTTGGCCTTTGACCTTCTGTTCCTGGAGCAAGAATGACAGCTTACTGTGATATGGAACACTTGCCAGGCCACCAAGGTTTATATCTAGTGTGGTTACAGATGTGCCCTCTGGAGTTACAGCCACAGAAAACTTCCCAGCTCTACCTCCAAGTTGTGATTCTTAAGCGAATGACCTTTCTATTGCTCAGTGTTCTTGTGTGTAAAAATTGATTCTAAAAGATCCTAAAACAGAATCAATGAGAGGATTGAATGAGGTATAACATTAATGCCTGGATGTATAACAAGCTCAAACAAGATTGGCTATTATTTAAGTATACTCCTGTTCACAGAGACATGATTTTTAGTATTCTGCTGGACACAAGAGATATGTTCAGGGAATAACTTAAGGATGAACACACAGGAGCCATACACGAGGGAACGTTTTCTGACTAAATCTTGTATACATCTTTGGACTACTTCTTTGACCTAGATGGACAGTCACTTATTCCCTGTTTCACTCTCTTGTAGGTTCACAATCCAACCTGAATGGAGTGATAATGGGCCTTGCAGCTGCTAAGCTGGTCAAAGTCAAGAGAACACAGTGCGTTCTCTACATGATGCCCCAAACAGCAAAAAAGCTGGCTCCTTTCCTGATGGCGGAGACAGAGAACTTACACAATAAATCTGGTAGACCCCGGCCCATGTGAGTTGGGTTGACGATCCTCTGTTCCCCTCCAATCTCTCATTACAGCAGCTCCCTAACTTCTCTACACAGGATAACTGTTTTAAAAACATAACATGGACTGTGTGATCTATCTCTTCAAATGTCACAAACAGTTTGGTAATTGTTTGGGGGTATTTTTTTGTCTGTGCCTGTATGTATGTGTTGATGTGTTTGTAAGTATGTGTACACACATGCGGAGGTCAAAGGATAACTTCGGGTGCTGTTTCCCTTGGGCACCATATATTTTCTGGTTTTGTTTGTTTGCCCTTTGAGATGGAGACTCTCACTGGGATTTGTTTGATTAGGACAGGTTGTCTGACCAGCCAGGTCCAGGAATCCACCTGTCTCCTGCTCCCCAGAGCTATGTTTACAGACTTGTACTGCTATACCCAGTTTTAAACAAACACAGTCTGTGGGGAGCAGATCGAAGACCTCATGTCTATGCAGTAAGCACTTAAAGGACTGAACTGTTTCCTAACCCAGTCACCAGTTAATTCATAGCACATTTTAAATGAAGTTGAGACTTGCTTTGGTCCCCATGAGACAAGCAATCATCCCTTGTTGGGCATCATCTTGTCCCTGTTTCCCTCCCATCAGCAGCTCTGTCCTTCTACTGCTTGGTTCTCACATGTTGACACATGCCTCTGGGGCACTGCATTTGCCTTTTGCTTGTCTGAAATGTCCTTCCTTTCAATCTTCACTCATGCCGCCCCCACCCCCTCCCCCGCACTATTGTTTCTCATAGTCTCATTTTTATTTCCATTGGCACTTCTTTTCAGAACACCCCATCAAAAGCCAGTCACTATTATTATGAAAACTATTTTTATTTCCTTTATTGTACCTTCATTAGCTTAAATCAGCTTGTTTTTAAAAATATATCTACTTGTGTGTTCCTAAAAGCCTGTTACAATATTTAGATGTCCATAGGGGTAAGAATATTGAGTGAGTGAGGTGTCTCAGTGGGCAAAGGCATTTGCTTCAAAGCTGATGACCAGAGTCCAATCCTTGGGACCCACATGGTGCAAGGAGACAATTTACTCTCACAGATTGTTGTCTGACTTTCACAGGTGTGTCCCAGCAATAAATATATCAATGTAATTTTTTTAAAAAAAGAACAAGATTCCTTTTTGTGTTGTTCAGAAAGAGATCCTCAATAGGCAGAACGGGATCCGACATATAGTAAGTTCTGGTTTTAGAGATGAAAGTATAATCACGTCATTTCCCCTTTTTCATCCTCTGCCTCCCTTGCTCCTTCTCTAGTTTATGGACTCTTTTCCTTTAGCTGTTATTTTTACATATGTGTGTAAGCACACACACACACACCATGCTCAATCTGTTTAATGTTGCTTGTATGTACATGATTTCATGACTGACCAATATAGTTGGATAACCAATTAGGAGGCTCATCCCTGGGGAAGACTATTTCTCCTGCTCTCAGCATTTATTAGGTTCCTTAGTTCTTTATAGGTATGGCCCAATGTGATTTTTTCCCCTTTCATGTTAGCATGCCAATTTATGTTGGTTCTTTTTTTTTTTTTGAGACGGGGGTTTCTCTGTATTGTTTTGAAGCCTGTCCTGGAACTGGCTCTATAGACCAGGCTGGCCTGGAACTCACAGATATCTCCTGTCTCTGCATACCAAGTGCTGGGATTAAAGGCGTGAGCCACCAATGGCCGGCTTATATTGGTTCTTAATAACTATATGTTTAATCAATCCACTTTACAGAGAAAATGTTTCCAGTTAAGAACTAGGCAAATTATGTATTTTTTCCATTGATTTCCAAGGTAGCACAGAGAAGCACTGAAAACTGATGTGTAGATGCTCAATCTCATGAAACCTGTCTGTGGTTTAGTGTGCCTGGAAAAACTTAGCTCACACTGAAAAGGAATTAGAACTCAGAGAGCACCTCCTCATGCAGAGTAGCACTAGGTCCACTTCTCAGGGGACAGTCAGGACAGGAGACTTTTTTTATGGTTCATAACAGAAAATAGTCTCTGATGGTGGAGTGGCTCTGATGAGGATCATAAAGGGCGTGGTTGTGACCAGAGTCTGGATCCTCTGGTTATGCATCCTGAGAAAAAAAATTTACCTCATTACAGTAGCCTTCATACTTTAGTATTCATAGAAGATGCTGTCTATATGCCATGCGGTTGATCCTTTGAACTTCTACTTTATCTTGCATTTAATATGGCAGCCAAGGACTCTCAGATACCAGCATTGAAGATTTCATGATAGGAGGGTTGGGAAGAAGGCTTAGTCTATAAAGTTCCTCCCATGTGAGCCTGATGATTTGAGTTAAGATCCCTAGAATATCCAAAAAATCCAGATGTGATAATGTGTCTGTTACCCTGGTGTAGTAGAGTCAAGAAGATCACAGGGGAATCACTGGACATCTAGTGAATGGATGATACCAGGTCCAGTGAATGAGGCTGAGAAAGACTGAGAAAACCACCCAACATCTTACACACACACACACACACACACACACACACACACACACCCAGAGAGAGAGAGACATGATACCATGACTTTAAAGTCTTGTTTTGCTGCTTGTTAGCATGTGCTTTTGAGTACTTATTCTTTATTTGTCCATTTTTCTTATCTATATGATATCATCTGCTCTATTTCCTGTGGGTACATGGGTTACAGCTATGTTGAGAATAGCACTGAGTTTTTGTGAAGATTTAATTGCTTATGTTGCGCAGTCCTGGGTACTTGTAAGACAGAATCTCTTATAATACTAATTTCTGTCTTCTGATAGAATGAGTATTAACTCAACCCTTCTAAAGAGGACAGCAGGTGGACAGAGGGGCATTAAGTTTGCCTACAGTCACGTGGCTAGCCAGATCCTGCAGAGCTGATGCATACCGTCACTGGGTTCTTACACCTCACAGTAGAGCTGTGTGGGGAGGGACAAATATTTCACTGTGTGATATTTAGGGCTGCTCTTTTTCTTTTTTCTTCAACAGCAACCAAGAGATGTTTAAACTCTCATCACTAGATGTTACCCATGCTGCCTTGGTGGATAAATTCTGGCATTTTGGGGGCAATGAGAGGAGCCAGAGATTCATTCAGCGCTGTATCCAGACCTTTCCTAGCTCATGTCTTCTGGGGCCTGAAGGGACCCCTGTATCCTGGGCTCTGATGGACCAAACTGGAGAAATGCGAATGGCAGGCACTGTGCCTGATTACCGGGCACAAGGTCTCATCTCCCACATTATTCATACTCAGACACTGGTTATGCATGAACTTGGCTACCCTGTGTATAATCATACAGACAGAGCCAACAAAACCATGCAGAAAATGAGTCATACTCTGCAGCATGTTCCTATGCCCTGTGACTGGAATCAGTGGAATTGTGTACCTCTGTAACTCTGGTGCAGAATACTAGGCTGTGTTGGGTAGGCTATAATAAAGCTGGATGGTGGACATAGAGAAAATAGTATTGCAATGAACAATGAAGGAGTGGGCACTGTTTGGGCTTTGGGAAAGCAGTGTAAATGGCCAACAGCATACCACAGTCCCTGCCCTCATATTGCCTTTCAGATCCAGTAGATGAAGCATGGCTAGACCTCGCCACTGAGCCACCGACTTTGTTCAGTTCTCTACACTCTAGATGCCAGCGACACTTCTATTCAGCTACACATTGCTATGCTCGTGTGGATTATTGCCCACGGCCAGTTGTGTCAGGGCATGGTGCTGACTTGTGAATAGTGTATGCTTTTCTCTCACACTCTTCCTTTGTTTAGGAGCTGGAGTGCTCTTCATCAGCAGGTACTTCGAACTAATTGCTTCACTGGCAGACCTTTGATTTCTATTTAATAACCATGCTAAATATTACATGAATAAATAAATGATTGTAGTTGGATATGGTATCTGGAAGACTAAGAAAATTTATTGTGTGTGTTAAATGTGTACAATATGAGGCTTTGAGGATAAAAATAGACAGTAACAATGTTTTCTAATAGTGAAACAAATTCGCACATCCATCACCTCACGTATTTACTATATTTTGATTTGAAGTTAAGAGTATATCTAAAATCTCATTTAGTATGAATCTCATATACAGTTCAATGTTATTATGATATTCATGTTATAAGCAGATCTCTAGATCTTATTAATATATGGGAATTTTTTTAATCATCTCATATACATGATATCTTTCTCACCTCATCCCTAACCTTGGTAACTAGCATTTTGTTCTCTATGTCTGTGTTTCTAAAAATTGTTTTAAAATTCCACCTAGAAGTGAATTTCTGTGTTAGTTTTTCTCTGCCTAGCTTATCTTGCATGGTGTATCACCCAAGTTCATTCACTTTATGGAAAACGGTAAGAACTTATTCTTGTAAAGGATAACATTATTACATTGTGATACATATTTTTCATGCCACAGTTTCCTTTTTCATTTGTCTATCAGCAGACACTTAGGTTATTTCCCTATCTTGGCAACTTATGAATAATCACACAGAGTTTGTCTTTCTGAAGTAAAGATAGTGGTCTTCATTGCATATATGCTCCAAAGAAGGACTTATAGATAACATGATAGTTCTGTTTTTCCATTTCTTTTAAATTATCCATGCAATTTTCCATGATGGCCGTACCAATCAACAGTCCTACCAACCATGGAGAAAAGTTCTCCCTTCCTTTTTTGTTTAAATTAGAAACAAGCTTGCTTGGCATATCAATAACAGCTCCCTCACACTCCCATCCTCCCCTGCTCCCCACAAACTATCCCAACCTTCCACCCTATCCCCCCTCCACTTCCTAGAGAGGGTGAGGCCCTCCATGGAATCTTCAAAGTCTGTCATATCATCCCGGGCAGGGCTTAGGCTCTCCCCCATGTGGAGAGAGCATCCCTCCATGTGGAATGGGCTTCCAAAGTCCATTTGTATGCCAGGGCTAAATACTGATCTACTATCCAAGGCCCTATAGATTGCTGAGGTCTCCTCACTCCCTTTCCACACACATGTCAACAGGTCTTATTCTTTGAGAATTGCATTCATATATACAATGTATATTGATCATATCTGTCCCCACTGTCTTCAACTGCCTTTACACCCACCCCAACACATCTCCCTCCCAAGCATCAAATCAGTTAAGAGACTTGTCCATAGAAAGAGGAGAGTGGACACTTTCCTTGTTTTTTTTTATTGACCACATGTTTAAGTAAGTAGGCTGAAGAAGACAGAAGTGGAGGGGTCTGTTTCTGTAACTGAGGTACAGAAGGACCCCACTCCTTTGTTGTAGTCAGCCTTTGTGATTTTTAGAATCCTTGGGTTTACTCTGTTGATGGTAACAAAACAATTCAGTGGAGTTTTGTTTTATGGAGAAAGTTAAGGCTAATCACAATGACTTCAAACCACAAGTGATGGGAATGAGAACTAATGTGCCAAAAAATGCAGAATTCCAAAAGAATATAGAGAAAAACGTGCAATCTTGCACAGTGTCAGCCCATTGACTGAAAGAACACACAAACTCTTTTGCCTTTCTGTGTAGGTAATAGCTACTCGTTTCTCTGGTCTCCTAGTTTGAGCATCTTTTCTTTCCTTAGCAGAACTCATGACTAGCTGGGAAAAATGGTACTGATCACAAGAATCCAGAGACTGTCAAACTTCCTTCCTTGGTTGTTTCACACAGTGAGGTTGAGATGGAAAAATAACTTCTCAATGAGCCTTGTCTGTTCCTAGAAAGGTGGATCAAATTTTAATGTGTTGGCAGTTTAGAAAGAAAAGCGTCTGCCACCAGAAAAATGTAAATCAAAATTACATCACAATTCTTACTCTAGTCAAAATGACTAGCCTTAAGAATTCAAACAGAAGCTGGCAACAATGAAGCAGAAAAGGCAATGTAAACTAATACATCCAACGTATAACTCAGTGTGGATGTTTGTAAAGAAATGAAAAACAATTCCATGTGTTCCATCCATACTAGAGACATACTCAGAGAAATCAAAGCTCACTATAGAGATGCCCATGTACCTATGCTTACCACTACACTATCCACAATAGCCAAGGTATGAATCTGGATAGGTAGGCATCAGTGGATGAATGGATGAAGGGTATGTGTTATATATGCATACAACAGAGCTTTCTTCAGTGATAAAGAAGAATGAAATTACATTACTTGCAGGAAAATGTGCAGAACTGGGTGGGATCATCAGTGGAACAGGCGGGCTCACAGACAAAAGTGTCAAATATTTTGTCATGTGGAAGATAGTTATGAGATAAAAGGTATTATAAGAGATTTAGATGAGGAAAGAGGGTAAAGGCAGAGGAGATAAGAAAGGGTAATGGAGGAGACAAATATAGCATACTACTTACTGTTATGGAGAGTCAAAATGTATCTTCACATTATGGGAATACCATAATGCAGCTCCTTTGTGGAATTAAAAAAAAGAATGAAACATCTCTGGACTGAATACTTTTCTGTCTTAACCACAGTAGCCATCTCCATAAAATGAGATTAAGAGTTCTCTTCAATGGCTTCCTGTCTAGACTATTTCTTTTGGGGAAGGTTCGAGTAGGCAGAAAGAGATAGTCACAGAAGCCTTCGATGTCTCTCATTCTCAGGTGTGAGACTGAAATGATAGATACCACTGAAAAAGAAGCTTCCTTGACATTTTCAGTCAATGGCAGCATGGATCATGGACTCCCACATGGTTTCTGGTGATAGCATAGGGATCATAGACATTCACATGACCTCCAGCATCCATCAGCATGGACCATGTACCTCAGCATGGTCTCTGGCAGCAGTTCAGACCACAGACATCAAAGTAACTCTTGGCCAGAGCATAGACCACAGGCACCATTATGGCCCTTGGCCACAGTACAGGCCGTGGACATTGACATGGCCTCCAGTGGCAACACAGGCCATGGATATCAACCTGACTTCAGGCAGTAGCACAGACCATGGGCATCCACATGGCCTTTGGTGGTAATCCAGACTATGGACATCAATATGGCCTCCAGAGGGAGCACAGACCAAGAACCACCCACAAGGTCTTCAGTGGCAGCAAGGATCATGGAAAAAGGATTTCTTACTATTCTAACATTGCAGGCAAGCCATTTTCCTTTATGTTATGCATAAAAAGAGATATGATATTGAGCTCTATGAGTGAAAATGGGGAGGAAGAGGGTATTGCTTTCCTAACTGTCCCTTTCCACTCTGCTGGCTTACTGTACCTTTGTTTGGCATACTGTCAAGTTGGGCAAAGAGCAAGGTCATGTTTATGAGGGCAAATGTTAGTCTCATCTTGCAGAACCAGATCCCACAAGCATGAGATCAGTGAAGGAGGGAAGGGTTAGCTTTCACTAGAGCTGACAACAAGAAGTTTTTGTCAACCTGCTTAGGGCAAGGTCCACATTTTCAGCTTCAGATCAGTTAATTTCTGAAGAGGCACAACCAAAGTTCACTCACTCTTCAGGTTCCCACTAAGCCTGCTGCATCAGAAGGGACGTTCTCCTCCCAGAAGTCCATTTTTTAAAGACAGCTTGTGGAGGCAGCTTTCCAGGTGAGCATTTATCTCAGAGTAGTAGATCTGCTAGATGAAAGAGTCTGGAGGCCAAATGACCAACATAAGAACTTTAGGTCATAAAATGATTGTGTGGGATGCATAGGCAATGAGTAGGGGTTAGCTGTCATCTTCTATCATTATTTTCCTGTCATCTATCATTTATCTATCTACTATCTCTCTATTTATTTATATTTTAGGCATGTGAATCACAGCCCTCTTGTGAAGGACAGTGGACAACTCTGTAGAGTTTATTCTCTCCTTCCACCTTTGTGTGGACTTTGGAGATCAATCAGTGGTCACCAGGCTGTGTAGTAAGCACATCTGTCTGCTGACTCATCTTCCCAGCCCATGGTGTCATCTGTGATCACCAAATATACAAACACACAAATCTCAATACCTGTTGACATAATGGACTATGTTAATTGCTTCAGTCTGTCAGCATACAAACATATACAGCACCCACAAATTTAATATAAAGCTATGCACTCTGTGTGTATTCTATAAGACCACATGGTTTACCTTAAATATACAAAGCAATCTTGTAAAAGGTCATTATTGCTTTTTAGCATTTTCCTCCTTGTGGTGATATATTATTTATGATTTAATAAAGCTTGCCTGAGGGCCCAGAATGCAAAACCAGCCACAGACATAGAGCCAGGCAGTGGTGTTACACACCTTTAATCCCAGGACTCAAGAGATAGAGGCAGATGGATCTATCTGTTAGTTCAAGGCCACACCGAGCTACACTAAATTGATCCAGTCTAAAAGAGAACACAAAGCTCACACAAAGGTGATCTCAGCACTTGGGGTCACATGTCTTTAATATGCGCACTGGGGAGGTGGAGACAAGGGTGATATGGCTGGGTAGAGTAAGGAATATAAAGTGGAGGAGACAGGACTCAGAGGGTTGCAGTCTGAGACTTTTTGGAGGCACTGTACTGTTAGGATTTGTGGAGACAGGATCACCCGTTTCTGTGTGAGGTAGAGGTAAGAGCTGGAGTGACTTGGCTGCTTCACTTCTCTGATCTTCAGCTTGAACACCAACATTTGTCTCTGGGCCATTTCTTACTCATCTTACACCTCCTCTCAAGTGAATAATACCAAAAGGATCATAATGAGTGAAGGACCAAAAATACCTGAGGGGAAAATAGTAATTTCACCTGAAGAAACATATTACACCCATGTATTCTGTAAAAGCTAGTTTGTCAAATACAGTGAAAAGTTCCAGATATTGTTTCTAGTAAATGAGGAAATACTTTGTGGCTTTTGGAAGTGAGTGACTGCAGAACCTACTGTGTGGAGGTACTACACCACTGTGCTCAGTCTTCTCAGTTGTATTACAGGGTAGGTGGGTTTCTCTGCCCACTACTGGTAAGAGGGTTATTGAGCTTAAAGTTAGAAAGGTAGCAAGAATATGCAGTACAGTGATGCTACTTATTAATCAGATAGCAAGCAAAGGCTGTGTCTAAAGACTACTACCACAGTCTAACGTTTAACTTACCTATGTTTTCTTTTTAAACTCTTGCTTTGCATGTTACTTAGAAGCTATTTTATGCCCTTTATATTCTGATCATACTTTAATACTTTCCCCCACACCCACATTCACCATTTATCATGCCTGTAGTCATGGGGTTAATGCTTTAGAGTTATTGTACTTTGCTATTTACATTTTCTTTCCCTATTCACAAACAGTGGAGTCCTATTTAGCATGTACCTGTGTTTGTATAGCTTTGTAAAATTCTGTTCTGTTCTTTTAAATTGTTATTGTCAGATTAATTCCCATTCCTGGAATGGCAGGGTCAGCAACTCCAGAGTTCACTTAGAAGTTGCTCAGTGCTACTGGCCATAGTGTGTCACAGGCTTCCTGGAAAATCTCACTATAGATAGCTGTGAATCTGTCCTGTTTATTGGACACCATGCTTAGTTGTTAGTTTCTGTACATCCTAAAAAGTGGTTCTAAACTCAGCAATTTGGCACAGCACAGATTTAACATACAGCTATACATGGCATTTTATTCTCATGGAACTCCTGATGTGACCAGCAGTGCTGAGGGAGCACATGAAAAGGAGGTGAGGCTGAGATTTGGGAAGTGGACGTGAGTAGTCTGACCTGATTCTTTGGTGACTAAGTATGTTGGAAACTTCTAGCCTTTGACTAGCGGGAACATAACTGCAATTTGCTGAAACTGGTCTTCCTTTCTGTCCCCACAAGATAAACAGCCAGCCATGATGAAACCTGGTCTGCCTCAGCAAGAGTGTGATGGGGGCTTGAGATTAGAGCTTTGGGGAAGCAGGCAAGGGCACTGCTATGCCTCCAGGTTGTGCCCTGCCAGAACTCAGGGTGATTCTATCTAATACATTTCTTCATGAAGCAGGAGAGTTATAGAAGTAACAACTGCATGTGAACTGAGTATGTTGCCAGGCACAAGGCTGTTGGCTACTTTGACAGATATGACTTCTTTGGTCTGTGCTTACGCTTGATTATTGGGTAGGATGTTAGGTTTGTTGTTCTGTTCTTGGTCCGAGTCCATTATGGCCATTTACTGGCCTTGTCTGATGTTCCTTTCTGCTAAAGCATTATGTTTTCTCAAATTTTTAAATGTGATTGTTGGTGTTGTCAACTTGGAAGAATCTAGAATCATGTGGGAGATAGGTCTTGGGATACGTCTGTGGGAATTATCTTGATGATGTTAAGTAATATGGGAAGACTTATCTTAATTGTGGATGAAACTATTTCCCCCAGGCAAAGAATCCTAGAAAGTACATACAGAGAAAGAGCTGAGTACTGTTAATTTATTTCCCCTTCTCTGCTGCTTAAGTGTGGCTGTAATGAGACCAACTGCTTCAAACTCCCCTGCTGTGACTTCCCCAGAATGATGAACTGTGCCTTGAACAGTGAGCCCATACAAACCCTTTCTTCCTTAAGTTACTTTTGTCTGGATAGTTTATCATAGTGATAGGAAAAGAATATAAAACAACAAATTATAGAAAATAAAACAGGAATCTTTGTCTAGATATGCAGCCCAGGGGACAGAAACAAATATTAGGGCAAATATATTTAGTCTTTCCTAAAACCCACAGTGGTATATTTATCACTACCTGAGCCTAACAGTAGTCACCCTTCCTGCTGAACAATAACAGTCTGTACCAGCTGCTTAGAAGTCTAGTGTCATAACTCCACCAAATTGCTTAGATGTCTTCATATAAAACCAAGTGATTATATTGACCATGCAAAAACACAGCTGTCATCTCAATGACAATAAAAGGGGAACTTATTCTTGAGCCATATATCTACCCACAACCTGGGAACATGGATTCAGGCTACCCCAGAACACGTTCCAACATGGAAATGGCTTCATGAAGTTCAAAGTCACAGAAGAGGAGGTCATAAATTAAGGTAATTCCAAGTGGGTGGAAACATCAGGTAGGTTGGTCACAGCAAAGTGGGAACATCTCTGCTATAGGTCTCAGGTGCTATCTGATGGCAACCTTAGCTTTTGGGTTAGTGGATGTTAGTTGTCTCCTATGTTAATACATCCCCAAAAGGTTTTCCTGACAACTGAAACATCAAAAGAATCTTAGATATAATATAAAAGTGAGAAATATGTGGCTATTAAGGGTTATTAAGATAGCTAGTGACAATTTTGGCTCTAAGTTCTTCACAATCACAGAGTTCTGATTAGTCATCCAGTCCTGTAGCATTTTTTAATATAGTCATGACTTTTTTCTTGAAACTTTGGTACACTACAACTATCCAGTCTGTTTTGGACTTTTGATTTTATCACATTTACGTATTTGTTTATCCTTATGCCAAGTCACTCTGTCTTGGTAACTTTAGCTTTCTATTAATAGTAAGGTTTACACTTAGGTGAATTTCCTCATCAGTTGTGTCCCTTCCCACAAATGGAATCTGGACTATTTCATGACTGATTTCATCAATTTGTAGATAAGTAACATTCTATTTATTTGGTTTTTACTTAGATGTGCTTGTTTATGTGAGGCATGTGTATGGGTCCCATGGAGGTGAAAGAGAGGTGTCAGATCCCCTGGAGCTGGAAGTTACAGGCAATTGTGAGCTCATGAGTGCTGGAAACTTTGATTCAGGTTCTCCGGAAAAGCAGCAGTGTTATTAATTGCTGAACCATGTTTCTAGTGCCTGTCTTAGCAATAAGAATCTTGTGATTTCCCACCCTGTGTGCTCCACTGTGGATACTTCCAACTATCTGTCTTCATTGGTATTTCTCTCTTACTGTCTAATCTTCAGGTGGTCACATGCTATGTGTTGTTAGTGTTAAATGTTGCATTGTTTTCATTTCCATGAGTACTATATTGGTCTTAAAATATTTTTTACTCTAGGTTTGTTTTTTGTTTACTGTTTTAGCTTGTGCTCACTCTCTTTCTCCCATTTTCTTTCCTCTGTCTTTGTGTTTCTGTGTCTTCATCTGTCTTTTTATCTCCTTGTCTCTGTCTCTCTCTTACACACACACACACACACACACACACACACACACACACACACACACACTACTTTGACATTCTCAGTCTCCAGTCTTTGGATTTTCAAAGCTGAGATGCTTTGCTCGCTTCTGTTTCCATCGCCCAGTGGCCCAAATTGGAAACTTCCTTCAAAAACTAAGCTGATGGCAATTGGTTGTGGGGATGGATCCCAGGGTCTGGCACATGGTAGACAAGAGGCTTTGCCAGTGAAACAATTCTTCTAGCCTTTTGTTACTTTCCTCTCTCCAAGACCATAGCCTTACTGTCATTTGGTAACTTATGTGTCCTAGTTACCCTTCACTGTCAACTTCACACAGCCTAAAGCCATCTCAGGGGGGAAATTGCCTAGATCAGTTTGGGCTGTGAGCATGTCTATGGTAAATTATCTTTATTGTTGATTGATGCAGGAGGGCATCTATCTGTGGACAGCACCACTGGTCTTGGGCTGGTTAAAAAAGCATGAGCCTGTTAGCAAGTCAGCAAACAGTGTTTGTTTTTCCATGGTTTCTGCTTCGAGTTCCTGCTTGAGTTTCTGCCCTGACTTCCCTCAGCTATTGACTGCCGCTTGAAAGCTGAAACAAACCCTTTCATTGCTTAAGTTACTTTTGTTTGGAGTGTTTTATCACAATGACCCAAATCAGACTAGAACAATATGAAAACTGTGATTATTTTAGGTGAGGAGTTAAGTCCAGACACTATTGCCCAGAAGCAGAAAATCTTTCCCCTGTGTTTTAAAAAGCACATGTTTGCCTTGCCCTGACTTGGAGCCTAACAGCTCATGCATGGCCAGGCCAGTTTCAGTGCTAATCCCTTCCAGGGCACCGTCTTTTGCCCTCACTCAGAAATTATTTTTCTCTGTTTTAAATATCACTATTTCATAACAGAACATGATGACAGACTCCCTTCCCTTTTTACCTAGTTGGGTTGCTGTGGGAGGTTTAGGTGGGACCAACATGATGTAGTGAGTAAATTTTTAAAATGCTATTTTTATTCCCTGGTAATTTAAAAAAGTACATGCATTTGTGTGTGTGTGTGTGTGTGTGTGTGTGTGTGTGTGTGTGATGCCCACAACCTGACATCCATTTGAAGTGAAAGGAGAACTTGCTTGGGAATTGGTTGTCTTGTTTTCTACAATGTGGATCTTGGGGATCAAACTTAAATCATCAGGCTTGACAGCAAGCACAGTCATCTTTCAAGCCCTTACATAGTATTTTCTAATGTGTAACATAGACTCAGGAATGATGTTTAGAGAGGGAACTAAACAAGAAAGCCACAAAACAATGATAGGATGAGAATAGTAGCTTGAATGTTATTTGGTTATAAAAGGTTTATTGTTTATATAAAAACATATCAAAGTACCTTACAATAAAACAGTTGCATCAAAACATCATGCAGTGTTAACTCACAAGAGGAGAAAAAAGATGAGAAGCATTAGCAATAAAATAAAATAAATAACTCAGCTGAGTATTGTTTATATGACCAATGACACTCTACCAAACACGCTGCATGTTAGTCAATCATTTCAACCTTACAGACATCCTATGAGCCAGATGGTGCAATTATCCCATCTACCTTTTATGAAACCAAGGCACAGAGGCTAGGCAACTTCCTGTGAAACACCATTACTGGAGATGTCAGGAGAGACACTAGCATACATGAAAGTCCAAAGAATAAAATGCACTTGTTCATGTAGTGTGAATCCAATGGTGAGAAGGAGGACCAAGAAGGTCAGAGAGAGACTCCAGTGCTTCTGTGACTCTTGTGTTTCCTTAGGGGTGGTGAGGATGTTAGTGAAGGGGAGGTTTGGTTAATCAATCACACGCAGCTGTCTACTTTTGTTTCTGTCATTGATGAATGTCCATTTATCATTTCTCTAGGCTAAAGTGTCCTCATGATTGTCCAACTGCAAGGTGCACAGATGCTGCAGATGCTGGAGAAATCTTTGAGGAAGTATCTTCCTGAATCCTTAAAGGTGATCTCAGAAAATGCTGAGGGCAGCAAGGAGAAAGTGGATGTGAAAAAGAGACTGACACTTATGCTTCATTCTCTCCGTGTGTGTGTGTGTGTGTGTGTTGTATAATGCATGAATACAATATATACAATTATGAATAGGTCTGAGGTTGATGTCTGTGTCTTCCTTGATCACTCTTCACCTTATATATTGAGAGAGGGTCTCTTGTTGAACTTGGGGTTCACCAATTCAGCTAGTATAGCTAGTCATGTTGTCCAGGAAATTCCCCTGCCTGTGCCTTCCAAGCAATGGTATTACATGGAGGTTGTCCACACTACTCTGTGGTGATACTTATGATTTATTAAGCTTGACTGAGGATTCAGAAAGCAAAGTCAGCCTCAAGCTATAGAGATCAGACAGTAGTGATACACACCTTTAATTCCAGCAGCCAGAAGCTAGGAGATAGTAGTACACATCTTTAATTCTAGGACTCAGTATTAACAGGTAGACAGATCTCTGTGAGTCCAAGGCCACCCAGATCTATACAAGATTGATCCAGTCCTAAAGAGAAACCACTCACACAAAGACAATCTCAGCACATGGGATCACATGCCTTTAATCCTAGCACTATAAAGGTTGGAGCAGGGTCTTCAGTAGTCAGTATTAGATATTCATTCTCCAGCCAAATTGAGGATAGGAAGACATTCAGTCTCATGATTCTCTCTAGCCACACTGAGGAGAGGCAGCAGTTTGAGGCTTGGTGAAGAGCTCACTGATCAGCCCTTTCCGTCTGATAGTTAGTGCCTGGTTGCTTTGCTTTTCTGATCATCAACTTGGTTTGAACCCGGTATCTGTCTCTAGGTTATTTTATTTATCATGTTACTCTCCTTGGTTTCTGTGTGGATACTGAGGATCAGAACTCTGAATCAAGTCCTCACCCTTGTGTGGCAAGTGCTTCATCCACTGATCAATCTTCCCAGTTGCTATGTGCCAATCCATATTTCATATTTTCTACCATTTAATTTACCTATTTACAATATTTGCCACTATATCTGTGTCATTGGTTAAGAATATGGAGATAGTCAGGTGTGGTAGTGCATACCTTTAATCTCTGTACTTGGAAGTCAAGAGGCAGGTGGTTCTGTGTGAGTTCAAGGCCCTCCAGTCTACAGCTAGAGAGACATAGTGAGACTCTGCTTCTATTAAAAAAAGAATGTGGAGATATAAAGAAGTAATTTAAACACTATGGCAGGCAAGACTGCTCAGAAGACAGGGCTTGCCTGCAAGCCTGACAGCCTGGCTCTGGTCTCCAGATCCCACATGGTGGCAAGAAAGAACTTACTCCTAAGAGTTATTATCTGATCTTCACACACACAGTTTGTATATTTCTATGTGTGTGTGTGTTTGTGCCCATGTTAGTGTGTGAATATATGAATATTTGTTCTTTTGGTCTTTTTTATTTTTCAGTTTAAATTTAGATAAGAAACAAGGTTGCTTCAGAAGTCAGTTCCAGGTCCCTTTCCCTTTCCCTCCCCTCCTCCCGTGCCCTCCCCCCACAACCCCCCCATTATCCCCTCATTTCCCCAGGGAGGGTGAGGCCCTCCATGGGGGTGCCCATAGTCTGTCATTTCATATAGGGCAGGGCCTAGACCCTTCCCCAAGAGTTCAGGGTGAGAGTGCACCTCACATTGTTGGATGGGAGTCCAAAGTCCGTGTGTATACTCGGGATGGGTACTGATCTGCTGCCCAAGGCTCAATAGATTACCTAGGCCTCCTCACTGACACCCACATTCAGGAGGTCTTGATCAGTCCCATATATGAATATTTGTGTTTGTATGTATGTATGTGTGTGCCTTACAGGAAAAATATTTTCAGATTTGTGCCACTCTACAAGAAGTTTTCTACACAATGCATTTAAGATAAGATGAATAGATTCAGTTCTTTCTTTCTCTAGCAAATTTGCTACTCCATTTTTATAAAGAAGAAAAATATTGGCATTTGTTTATTTGTAGATTGTTTTGTTTTATTTATTAATAATAAGCTAATGATGGAACTGTTGTATATGTTTGAGTTTGTATCAAATTTAAATCTTCTATTTAGACTAAAATGGGAATTGTAGGGGTGATCCCCACAAAGCTATCCGCCCTAAGGGCAGGCATAAGGAAATTTAGGACAGGTGAAAATAAAAAGAAGTGAAAGAGAAATGAATCCCTCTTCTTCTCCTCTCTTCCTCTGGAAGCCTGCCACACTTCTGACTCCCCAGCCTTTGTGTGTAAGTTCTTATTCTAGTAAATAAATATATTATATTCCATATTGCATTGACCTCCCTCAGCAGGGAACCAATTCTATTATTTACCATCCAAATAAATCTGTTTTAAGTCAAGCTAAATCCAAAAACCCTTTTTAATAAAGACCACAGATATAGACCAAGACATTCTATGTAACTGGTAATCCACAGGTGTCAGGAAATCTCCCAGACAGAAAGCAGATATTTCCTGGAAATTATATCATTTGACACTCTATGGACAATGAGCTTGAGTTATTTTATGTTGAACAACTATTATCAGAAATTCTAAAGGATAAAACTATTTTTACATGTTCTGTGATACAGAATTTTAAAATGCAAATTCCTCTATTCCTTCTGTTAAAAGAGAATGTCAAATATTTTGAGAAAAGCAGTTTTTTTGAGATGGAGTGAGGTAAGGTGGCTCAGCTTCTCAGATTTTAAAAGGAATACTTAACTCTTTAGTCACTTACTAAAGCACACACTTTCTCCTAATGGAAATCTGGAATAGCTATAAAGGAGTCATTAATTTTCTCTGCCTGAAAATTTTACTATATATGTTATGGCTCATATTTGAAGACAAAAATTTCATCAATTGAGGTTGAAAAAAAGTATTGTCTGAGATTGTTTGGCCTAGATTCTTGGCCTTAGCTCTTTGTCTTCACCAACTGTCACAATTTCATAGGAAAAAAAATCTCTGTCCTGATCACATAAGGTGCTTTTCCATTCTTCTTAATGAACTCACCATCTCACTTCCTTGCAGGTTTATGGGACTGTCTATCACATGAACCATGGAAACCCATTCAACCTAAAAGCCCTAGTTGACAAGTGGCCTGAATTTAACACAGTGGTTATCCGCCCCCAGGAAAAGGTAAGAAGCCAGGTCATTCATGTAGAATCTAAAAAAGCTTATCCCAGGTTATATTTTAGAATATACATGTATATACATATGTACATGTATTAACAATTAATGGACAAAAGGCTGTGAATTTGAAATAGAGAAGGGAGAAGTATATGTGAGGTTTTGGAGAGAGGAAAGAGAAGGGGAAAATGTTGTAATTAAGGAATAATCTCAAAATATAGAGTTGATCCCATAGAAGCCAAGAGTATAATGGTAGTTTCTAGAGATTGTGGTGGTGTGGGAAATTGGGCTATTACTGTAAGCAAAATTACAGTTAAATAGAAGTGTAAGTTAAAGAGACCTGTTGAAAAGCATAGTGACTAAGTACATTTTATTCTGAAAATAATGAGAGATGTAAAGTGTTCATACCAAAAGTTTCTCTACTATATATTTTATTAGCTCCGTTTATATATGTCACACATATATGCATATATAGCCATATGTTACACATTGACATTTCAGTTTGTTATGTATGACAATGGTCCCATCAAAACACATTGCCTAGGCTGGGGTCAGGCCTCAGTGGGTAGAGTACTGGGTATGAAAGCATGAGGGCTTAAGTTTGAACTTCAGAGGCCACTAGGAAAAAACCATGGGTGGTGTTGCGTGCTTGTAACCTTAGTGCTGAGGAGATAAGATGGATCTCTGGAGCTCATCAACCAGACAGATAGCTTGTTAGGCACATTCCAGGCCAATGCTAAACCTTACCTCAAGAAAAAAAGATGGACTACAACTCAGGAAGGATGCCCAAGGTTCTCCTTTGACCTGTACACACACACACACACACACACACACACACACACACACACACACACACACACACACGCATGCACGCACGCACGTACACACTCTTGTGTGTGCTACTCCTAATGGCACTGTAAACATTTTAGTTTGTGTAATCAGAGTCTATGATGGCCCAGTGGTTAAGCACACTGGCTACCTTTCCAAAGGACCTGTGTTTAATTCTCAGGATGCACATTATGCCTCTCATCATCTGGGACTCCAGTTCCCAAAGATCCAATGCCCTTTTCTGGCCTCCCTGAGACCAAGTGTGTGTGAGGTACACAGATAGTCATGCAAGCAAAACACCCATACACACAAAATGTTAAAATAATATGTAAAATGTTAAAGCATAATGGAACTAGCACTGCAATCATAAACAATAAACAATAAGTATTATCTGTCCTTTCTCCATGCTAACAGGACATGGCAAATGACCTTGATTACTACACCAATACTTACCAAATCTTCTCTAAAGACCCACAGAACTGTCAGAAGTTCTTGGACTCCCCAGAAGTCATCAATTGGAAACAGCATTTGCAGATTCAAAGTAAGAACAATGGAAAGTGGATTCAATTCTTTCTGTGTCTTGTTTCACAAGATCCCTATACTCCCCTACCAAGTTCTATGACCTCAGTCAGACATGACATCACTAAATATACTTGTAAAAAGAAAAGTATGAAACACTGTTCTTTAGATGAACAGGACCTATAGAATACATACATATTATAGAATATATAACAAAAGGGCATTTAGTAGCTTGGCTTACATAAAAGGGACTATGTAGACCAGTAGTGGCTATATGCACATTGGAGAGACAGAGAACTTGGTAGCTACCTGGTCCACAAAGCTGTGTACTTTGGCAATCTCAGACTGGACATTTCCTGGGGCATTATGGGTATTGTGCTCACTTTAGAAGGCTAAAGAGACAAAAATCTGATATCAGCAGAGGATGGTAGCAGCAATGGTAGTCAATAGACAGTTTTGGGGCACTGCTTTTTCCTCACACCCTTCTTCATCTAGCCTATCCATTGGAAGGTGTGAACCAATTTGAGGGTTGGTCTTCCTCCCTCTGTCAATCTTTTTCCAGACTCTTCCAGAGGTATATCTCCTAGATGGTTGTAAATCCTGTCATGTTGACAACTGAGACCAACCACTACAATAATCCCTAGTCCCAGAAATGTGTGGCGCATTTTATAGATGTATCCAGAATCCTGAGGAAAAGTGGGTGCAGGAGTGCAGCTTCACCCCTTGAATCCCACGTCTGTAATGATAGTAATGGTTCACAGTGTTTCAGGGTACCTTTCAGGTTACCAATAACAACTGTCCTGATGATAAGCATGGCCTTCAAGTCAGACTCCCTAAGTTGGTGTCTATCTTCTCCCCAACTGATCCTTAAGAAGTGTCTTGTCCTCTCTGAGATCATATTTTTTGCATAAACATATCAACATAATAGGAGTTCTTAAAATACAAGACACTGGAGTTTGAACAGGAAGAACCAAATGTAATGCTGGGTGTCCTGGTTAGCACTAATTACCAACTTGACACAAGCTAGAGTCACTTGGGAAGAGTTGCCTCAATTGAGTAACTGCCAATATCAGATTGGCTTGGAGATCATGTCTGTGGGGCATTGTTTTGATTGCTAATTAATAGAGTGGTGGGCTAGACCACTATAGGTAGAACTATCCCTAGACAATTGGTCCTGGACTGTATGAAAAAACTAATTGAATATGAGCATGTGAATGATCCAGAGAGTAAGCCAGCAAGCAATTCTTTTGTAGCTCCTGACTTGAGTTCCTTCCCTGATTTCCTTTAATGTTGGATTGTGACGTGGAAGTATATCCCAAATAACCCTTTGTCCCAAGTTGAGTTTCATTATGGAGACATGACTCAGAAGATGTTGGCTACCATATTTTATAGCTTGCCCTCTTTGATTTTCAAAACTACACAATTACACAGCTTAAAAAAACTTAGTTCCAGTCTTGGTCTATTCACAAAATGACTTTGAATTATTCATTCCCTGCCATGGTTTCATTTTTGTAAGACAGAGAGCATTATGCCAACCATGACTGTATGGCTATTCACACAGCAGCATCAACATGACCATAACCAACTTTTATCTTAAATCTCACACTTCCCACCCCTTTGGAGAGTCCCCTCCCAGAAGATATCTAACAATTACTTCTCTCCTTAGAAGTTCATTATATATTTCCTTATAAACCCATCTAGGTTCCCAGTCCCGTCTAAATGAAGTGATACAAAATCTTGCAAACATTCAGTCTCTCCATGTCAACCACTCAGAAAACTTCCTCTTTGTAGCAGCAGAGACAATCAAGAACCTGTTCCCTTCCCTGATGGATACAAAGGATTTATTGCCAGGTGGTTTCAAGCTAAAGGCCATGTGAGTTTGATAAGAGGCACCTCACATCTTTGTCCTACTACCCCTACTTCCTGGCTGTGAGTTTACATTGGTCTTTGATGATCACACTCTACTAGATGAACCCAACCCATGCTCATCCAAGGAACTCTAATGAAATTCAGTTGGTCATACTACAAACACAATAGAAATGAAAGGAGAGGAACTTTTGGGGAAGAGGGCTAACAGAGTGGGTGGGAGGGTAGGATGAATGTAGTTAAGAGTGCCTAAAACTAACATATGTGGCATATATCCATGTAATTATTAAATAATAAACTTTCAAAAGTTTGAATTGCAATAGTGCTAGCAAGATGGTTCATCAAGTAAGGGCTTTTATTGCCAAGACTGCCCAACTGAGTTACTGAATTCAGTACCCAGGACCAGCATGGCTAAAGGAGAGAACCATCTCCACAAGTTCTTCTCTGATCCTCAGTGTATACATCCATACCCTCCTATTCACCCCCCCATGCAAAGTCATTAAATAAATAAAGTAAAAATGAACAGAGTAATCTATAAAAGTATAAGTCTGACCATAATCCTTGTTCTTATCATTGTAAGATTAAAGTCCTCTGTTCACTGCTTGACATTTATTATTCTTCCTCATTTCCTCCAATCACACTGGCCTTTAGCCTTTCTAGCATAAGCCCATCTATATTCTCAGACCATGTATCTCTTGATGCCAGTGTTCTGCCCCTCAAGATAATAGAGGTAGGAACATACCTACCTTACACCCTTATACTCATCAACTTTGCTTTCTTCTTGGGCCCTCTATAGCAATCAAGACATGTTTAAACTTTCATCCTTGGATATCACCCATGCTCCTTTGGTGAATAAATTATGGCTTTTTGGTGGCAATGAATTCAGCCAGAGATTCATCGAACGCTGTATAAAGAAATTCCCAAGTTCCTGTGTCCTGGGGCCTGAGGGAACCCCTGCGTCTTGGACCCTAATGGACCAGACCGGAGAGATTCGAATGGGAGGCACCGTACCTAAGTACCGAACCCAAGGTCTCGTCTCCTTTGTTGTCTATGCACAAGAGCAGCTTATGAAAAAACGTGGCTTTCCTATTTATTCTCACACAGACAAAAGTAATACTATTATGCAAAAAATGAGTCACTCACTGCAGCATCTCCGCATGCCGTGTGCCTGGAACCAATGGAAGTGTGTGCCAGTGTGAAGCTGGACTTGCACACAGGATGGTATTGAGTGGGCCTGGGGTTATAATCGGATGTCAGACAAGGAGTAGAAGTTACCAAAAAGAGAATAAATGGAAAGCAGATGCAAAGAAGTGGTGTTGTCTGTGTTCTGGGGAAGCAGGGTGAATGGCTGACAAATCTGCCATAGTTCCTGTTGTCAGGTTGCTCTTAGACTCCCCTTAATTTCCTGAGTTTGAAGCAGGCCTGTGTCCTCCTGCACTGAACTCATGTAATTTAGTCCCTTCTCATCTCTGGGGTCTATATGGCACTCCCTTATCAACTGCCAAAGCTCCAAATGGTTCCCTTGGAAGTCCCAGTGCACAACCTGAAGACTTCTGTTAACTTTGCTAGTGAGAGCATGACAATGTTTTCTGGCTACTGTGCCTTATTCCTCTCTATCTATGGCTTTTACTTTCATAATCACCAAATATATTCTCCTCATCGGGTCTTAAGAAAGTAGCCACTCCTCTGTTGGCTGCCTCATGTCTATTAAATACATTGTATACGGATCATATAGTTTATCAGATTAAACACAAAATATATAAAATATCAAAGGAAGATATTAAAGAGAAGCCTAACTTAGGTTTTTCCAGTTCCTTCTTAGCCACAAGAAAAATGATGCAATGTGGCTTTCAAAGGCTTGGTTTCCCAGCGTATTGCAACCCTGAAAGAATAAATAGAGTATTTCATTGCTTGTACAAGCAAGCGTAAGCTATGTGGCTTATACTAAGAAGAGCAGGTTATAAGTTATGGAGAGTAAAATATGGATGCATCCAGGTAAGAGCCGAGGGTAGAAAAGCACAGACAGGACATTTATGGTTACATCTATTCTTTTTCTACTATAGGCCTGTAGTAATAAAACCAGCTTGCAACTGGCATAAAAACAGACATGTGGATCAATGGAACCGAGTTGAGGATTTAGCTCAGTGGTAAAACACTTGCCTAGCATGTATAAGGCCCTGGGTTTGGTCCTCAGCTCCAGAAAAAAAGCAACATAATAAGAAGGGACTATTTAAACTCATTATCCTGATTTGTGCATTATATTCATGCCTTAAGTTTTTGTATCCTCATATGTCTATAGTTTCCACCCAGAGCTGATATATACATACCAAGGCCACAACAAATACTGTCAGGCATTTTGATGAACACATAACACACACTATACTATCAGTCATTCATTATCAAATTTAACTCTTATAATAAGGTCTAGAGGCAGGTCTCAGACCACCTTTATTTTGATGACAGATAGCAGGAGGTGCAAGGGGCTTAGATAAGGAACCAGTGTCTCTAAGGAATGAGACTGTGTAACCATCTGTGTGAATGTGGCTATTCTCAGAGCCTTAGACTTGATGCTAAATCTGTATCTTTTCTTTAGGATTGGTTTTGCTGTTGGGTGTGGTGCAGCAAACCTTTAATCCCAGCTCACAGGAAGCAAGGGTAGGCAGATCTCTGTGACTTTTAGGACAGCCTGCTATACAGATGGAGTTCCAAGATAGCAAAGGTTATATAGCTAGACCCGGTCCAAAACAAACAACCAGACATAAATGACATTTTCTTTTTACAAATTCTTAAAAGAGAAGATAGAATATAAGAAAAAAATTCATCTCATTTGTGTAGGACAACCCGTTTCTTATGCTGCCTAAATTGAGTTCCCAGACATCCAGGGCTACACAGAAAAACATTGTCTTGAAAAAAGAAAACAAACAAAATAAAATACCTTGAAGCTGAGAGCATAGTCAGTGGAGTGCTCAGTTGGAACACATGTCGATAGGGTTAGATTCCAAGCACCACATAGACTGGGTGTGGTGGCTCAAGCCTACATGCCAGCTTTCAGAAGGTGTCTGAAGAAGGATCAGGAATTCAAGATCATCCCAACCTTTGCCTCACAGTGATTTCCAAGTCAGATCACGCTACTTGAAACTCCATCTTAAAAACAATAATAAACAGCCAGACAGTGGTAGCACATATCTTTAAACCTAGCACTCAGGGGGTAGAGACAGGAGGATCTCCAAATTTGAGACCAGTCTGGTCTATGGAGCAAGTTCCGGGACAGCCAAGACCACACAGAGGAAAGTTGTCTCAATAAACAGAAAAACAAAACAAAAAGCAACTGACCAAACAAAAAAGCAACAATGACAAAACTTGTTAAGCATAACAATGGTGCTCTTTAAAAGTGTGTCAGCGTGGAAGCAACCTAGATGTCCCTCACCTGAAGAGTGGATAGAGAAAATGTGGTACATCTACACAATGGAGTACTATTCAGCAGAAAAAAATAATGGAATCATGAGATTCGCAGGCAAATGGATGACACTAGAAGAAACCATCCTGAGTGAGGTAACCCAGTCACAAAAAGAGAAACATGGCATGTACTCTCTCATATATGGATTTTAGACATAGATCTGGGGAGTGCCAGCCTACAATCCTATGGCCAGAGAGTCTGGGAAACAGAAACTTCATTTAGTGGCTGATCGAAGAAGAGGCAGACTCCCTTGGTTAAGTACTGAGCTGAACTCAAGAAAGCCAGTAACAGAGAGGGAGGACTGATGATCAAAGGGATTAAGACTGGGCTGGTTTAACCCCCAGAAACAGCTGACCAGACAAAGGTTAACTCTTGAATCCCAGGCATTAGCCTGGGAAGCCAGCATGGGACTGATCAAGACCCCCTGAATCTGGGTGTCAGTGAAGAGGCCTAGGGAATCTATTGAGCCTTGGGCAGCAGATCAGTACCCATCCCAAGTATACACACGGACTTTGGACTCCAATAGAACAATGTGAGGTGCACTCTCACCCAGAACTCTTGGGAAAGGGTTTAGGCCCTGCCCTATATGAAATGACACACTATGGACACCCCCATGGAGGGCCTCACCCTCCCTGGAGAAATGAGAGGATAACGGGGGGGGGGGGGAGGGCACGGGAGGAAGGGAGGAAGTGGGAGAGGGACCTGGAACTGACTTGTGAAGCAACCTTGATTCTTATCTAAATTTAAACTGGAAAATAAAATTAAAAAAAAAAAGAAGACTGTCTGGAATTAGACATGATCATCAATATGCAGATCCATGCGTGACTGACTGTTGGTGGCCTTTAAAGGAAAAGGAGAGAGAGAACAAAGACAAACTGTCTCTTGCATGTGCATATGACATCGTGGACACAGCCCTGGGACTCTGCCAGCAAAAAGGCCATCACCGTGGAGGTACCACAACTAGGAGCTAAGCACACTTCTTTTCTTTATAAATGTTCCCCTGGCCTCAGGAATTTTGTTGCAGTCATACAAAACAGACTGATACATGTTAAGCCTTAGGAAAATTTGCTTTTATATAAATTTATATAAATGTGAATGTAAGTCGTGAAAAAAAAATAAAAGTGTGTCAGCATCCTAAGGAAGGCTCCTTTTAAAGGTATCACTTTCCTTGTACTGTAGCTACTAATTACCAAATTCTTCACTTCACTCACACTAATTTCCTAGATATTTCTTTATAATTGCAAGCAAGCTCCTGCTTCAGGTCCCTTGTACTTCTTGTCTCTCTCTGTAGAATACTCCCTGTCTTCATTTTAGTTTTCTAGATGTCACCTTCTCTCTGTCCCTACTTGAACATCTTATAAAATAGTTACTCTCTATATGTATCATCTCTCCTTCCCAGCATTCCACATACTCCTTAGAACAACTTCTAGCCTGCATGTGTTTCATTTCTTATCTATCTTCTGCAGCTAGATTGTAAACTAAGGAAAGCTTTTTGTTTGTTTGTTTGTTTTGTTTTTTTAATCAACTGTCTTTACTACATAATCTCTAGGGGATAAGAATGACTGCTTCATTGTAGATTCTAAACAAGTGTTTACTGAGTCTAGCTGTTAAGTAGGGCAACGCTTTGGTTTAGAGTGTATCTTGGTTTATATGCTTGTATACTTCTAGAGATACTAACAAGGTACCAATGATTTTCCAGTTTGCTGAGATATTTTTATCTACATTCTCATTTATCACAATGAAGTCAGTTTGCTAGGTGATTTAATTTGGGAAAATACTTCATATTTATTTATTATACACTTGACTGAAATCATTATAAAAGCATGCATTGGAAACAAATTGACAATATGGATTAGTAATAAATATAAAAAACATTAAGTGCTGAGTGGTGGTGATGCACACCTTATTTTCAGCACTGGTGATACAGAAGCAGGTGGATCACTGTGAGTTCAAGGCTAGCCTGGTCTAGTTCCATGACACTAACAGCTGTTATACAGAGAAACCCTGTCTCAAAAAACCAAAAAAAAATTAAGTACTCTTATAGATTGTATAATATGCATGCATCCAGTTTTGATTATTATGGAACTCAGTAACATGCATCCTGTTCATGACAATTGAATAGTACACTTAAAAAGGTAATCTATATATAATTATATATAATCATTTTACCATAAAATCATGTATGCACACACACACACACACACATACCTGTTTTTTTCTAACCGAAATCCATCCTGATGAAATCAGAGACTCACAGGTAGGGCGTCCCCTAGAGTTGAGTGAGAGGAGAGTTTGTTCTTGCTTCTGGATTAGGTGGTTACCTTACCAATGTTCTGCTATTTAGTGTGCAGTCTGAGTTCTAGCTCTCTGGTCCATTGCTTTTTTCCTGTTTGTGCCTCTCTAACTTTCCTCTGCCTCTCTTTTGAAATTATAATGAAATCCAAAAAATATAAAATTTATTGTTTCAATGCAACTGACATTTATTACATAAACTGTAATGTCCAAATATTGTATCTACACAGTCTAAAACACTTTCAGTAGCCTCACCAGAGACCCATAGCAGCTAATCAGCAACAGCTGTTTCCTCCTGGGAATCACTAATCTGCTTGTGTCTGTAAATTCACCTATCCTGTGCATGGAAAGAGAAATAAAACCTGCCACCTTTTATTTGGGCTACTTTGATTTAAATCTTATTTTAAAGCACCCCTTGGTCTTCCGCCTACATCTGAAGTTCCCCAGCACTGCAGCGTGCATTAGCACCTTTGGTAGAGTGTAGTCTTCCTTGCCAGTTACCTGGGACCTGCTGTGTTGTCTGAATCCCCAAATAACACACAGGACACTATGTTAATT